AGGGCTAACATAGTAAAAATGGCCATCTTACCAAAAGTAATACATCCAATACATCCCCATTAAACTCACAACATAATTATTTACAGAACTTGAAAGGACAATTTTCAGTTTCATATGGAAAAGCAAAACTCCCAGGATAGCTAAAACAATTCCATACAATAAAAGAACTTCCTAAGGCATCATCATCCCCTGGTTTCAAGCTCTACTACAGAGCGATTACAATAAAAACAACATGTAATTGGCATAAAAACAGACAGGTCAATCAATGAAATTGAATTGAAAACCCAGACATAAATCCACACAACTATGAACACCCAATTTTTGACAAAGAAGATAAAAATATAAAATGGAAAAAAGAAAATATATTCAACTGGTCTAACTGGATGTCAGCATGCAGTAGAATGCAAATAGATCCATATCTATCAACCTGCACAAAACTCAGGTCCAAGTGCATCAAAGACCTCAATATAAATCCAGATGCACTGAACCTGATAGAAGAGAAATTGGGAAGTAGCCTTGTGTGCATTGGCACAAGAGAAAACAACCTGAACACCAATAGCACAAACATGAAGATTGATAATTAATAAATGGAACTTCATGAAACTGAAAAGTTTATATAAAACAAAGGACACTCAATCAGCAGGCTACAGAATGGGAAAAGATCTTCACCAACTCCACATCTGTCAAAGGGCTGATTTCCAAAATATAGAAAGAACTCAAGCAACTAGATATCAACAAACCAAATAATCCAATTAATAATGGGGTACAGATCTAAACAGAAAATTCTCAGCATTAGAATCTTAAATGGCTGATAAACACTTAAAGAGATGTTCAGAGCTGGAGAGATGGCTCAGCCATTAAAGGCTAGGTTCACAACCAAAATATAAGAAAGTGTTCAACATCCTTAGCCATCATGGAAATGCAAATCAAAACAACTCTGAGATGCCATCTTACCCCTGTCAGAATGGTTAAGATCAAAAACACAAGTGACGCCGGGCGGTGGTGGTACATGCCTTTAATCCCAGTACTCGGGAGGCAGAGGCAGACGGATCTCTGTGAGTTCGAGGCCGGGCTGGACCGACAGCCTCCAAAACAATACAGAGAAACCCTGTCTCGTAAAAACCAAAAAAAAAAAAAAAACCCCACAAGTGAGAGGATGTGAAGAAAAGGGAACACTATTCCATTGCTGGTAGAAGTCAAACATGTATAGCTGCTTTGGAAATAAATGTGGCAGTTTCTCAGAAAATTATGAATTGATCTGCCTTAAGACCCAGCTATACCTCTCTTGGGCATATACCCAAAGGATGCTCAATCATACTACAAGGACACTTGCTCAACTATGTTCATAGCAGCATTATTCATAATAGCCAGAACCTGGAAACAACCTAGATACCTCTCAACTGAAGAACGGATAAAGAAAATGTGGTACATTTATACAATAGAGTATTACTCAGCTATTAAAAATGATGACATCATGAAACTTTGCAGGCAAATGGAGAGAACTAGAAAAAAATCCTGAGTGAGGTAACCCAGACCCAGAAAGACAAACATGGTATTTACTCACTTATAAGTAAATATTAGCTGTAAAGTAAAGGATAATCATGCTATAATCCACAGACCCAGAGGGGCTAGGTAACAAGAAGGGCTCAAGTGGAGACACGTGGATCTCTCTGGGAATGGGAAATAGAGATATTGTGGGTGGATTGGGGGCTAGTGAGGATGGGAACATGAGGGATCCTATGGGGACAGGGTGGGGGTAAGAGTACTGAAAGAGACAACTAGAAACGGGATCATTTCAGGGTGAGGTAGAAACCTTGTGCAAGGGAAACTCCCAGGTATCTAAAAGGATGACCCCAGCTAAGACTCCTACCAACAGGGGATATGTAGCTGAAACTTGCCATCTCCTTTGACCTTGCAAGACTACCAGTGGAGGGATTATGACACCAACACAGCCATATAACCTTCAACCTACAGTCTGTTCTGCCTATGACATATATGCTTGGGTAAGGGTGGCACAGAGATTGTGGGAGTGGCCAACCAATGACTGGTCCAGTCTGACACCCATGCCACCCAGAGTCCTGGAACACCACGACTGAGAAGCTAGATGACCCTGGGAGCTAGGATAGAACCAGACATTACTGATAAAAAATGTTAAAGTAAGGATACCTAATGATATTCAACTACTAGGCATAGATTGGTGCCCAGGTCAATAACCATTAGAGAGGCTTCATCCAGCAACTGGTGGAAACAGTTACAGAGACCCACAACCAAACACTAGGCAGATCAGGGAATCTGCTGAAGAGAGGGAGAAAGGATTGTAGGAGTCAGAGGTGCTAAGGACACCACAAGAAAACCCACAGAATCAATTAACCTGGACTCATAGGAGCTCACAGAGACTGAACCAACAACCAGGGAGCCTGAACTAGGCACTCTGCATATATGTGACAGTTGTGTAGCTTGGTCTTCTTTTGGGATTCCTAACAGTGGGAGCAGGGGCTGTCTTGACTCTTTTGCTGGCTTTCTGGGAACGGATTCATCATACTGAGTTGCCTTGTTCAACCCTAATACAGGAGAGGTGGTTAGTCCTACCACAACTTGATATGCCAGCTTTGGTTGATATCCATGGGAGGCCAACCTTTTCTGAACAGAAATGGGGGAGGAACGGATAGAGGGGGCAGAAGGGGGGTGGTGTGAGGAGAGGATGGAGGGGAAGCTTTGGTTGGAATGCAAAATAAACAAATATTTAAAAATAAGGATGAAGAAGAAAAACTCTTAAATCTTATAATTAAATGAAAATAGAAATAGAAAATACAAAAATGGTTAAATATGGGGAATATACGAGTTAAAGGATTAAAAGGGAATGGGGGTGAAAGATAGGTCAGAGAAAAGGTGTAATGAGTTAAGTTAAACAAAACCAAGGATGTTATGAAAAATATGGAAACCCACTTGTTAATAATTTACAAATGTAATTTTAAAAAGAAACAGTAGGAATGGAGTTGTCCTACATGGATGAACGATGTCTTTCTCAGAGGACATGGCTCATTATTTAAAATGTCATTACAAGGCAAGAGATACCTCCCTTTGAGTTATTGATTATGGAGCACCAGAGGTATCCAAACAACACAAGTTATTGCTATTGCCCTTGGTTACCTACCATAGCTACATAGTAAGATTCTATTAGGGTAAACACCATATACTTTGGCTCCATGATATAGAGAAATCAATTTCAAAACACCTGGGAAACTTTCTCCTGCTGGTACCCTTCATAGTGTCGTAAGCTATGTAGGCTGCTGGGGGGAGGAAAGACATCCATGATCTCATCCAGTGCTGGGTCCTGCATGCTACAATATGTACCCACAGATGTGAAAATGACATGGGGATTCGTTATGGGAGTAAATAACTGCTTTATGATTGAATTTGAGGCCTGCTCCACAGGAAGTAATTTCACACCTGGTACTGTAGCCCTCGAAAGAGCCCATAGCTTGTAAGGTCACAGACCCTAGGGTACAACCCACTATTATTGTTTTGCTAAATGGTCATCTTGTCCAATTGCCTTCTAAATATTTGTTTAAACCTTATAACCTTGGCTGCTCTCAGCCTTGGTCAGAAAGGCTTCTTTTTGCAGTGAGCAACACTTAATGCAGTACCACGAGAATCAACGATTGATTGCACCATACCAAAGAAGACACTTGTGTTAATCCGACTACCCCTGAGGCTCAGGGATATGGCAGAAGATTGGAGAGACAAGGAAAGACAGCATGGGAGGAGTGTGGTGAGGTGCTATCTTTTTTTTTTTTTTTGATTTTTCGAGACAGGGTTTCTCTGTATTGTTTTGGAGGCTGTCCTGGAACTCACTCTGTAGACCAGGCTGGCCTTGAACTCACAGAGATCCGCCTGCCTCTGCCTCCCGAGTACTGGGATTAAAGGCTTGCGCCACCACCGCCCAGCTTGAAGTGCTATCTTTTAGGTAGGACATGACTACTGTATTTAGGAACTCTAAGTAGCTGTGGTTACCTTCAGAACATCAAGCCAGCCAAAATCCCAGCATGGAGTGGGTAGATGATGGTCATGGCCCACCCCTTACTGAGAAACTATTAGTAGTGGATAGTTGCTGACGGAGGGAGAATCAGTGCTCTTGAGAATGATGATGTGGCCACTGATAGGTTTCCCATACTCTAGTGGTTGACCACCTAATCATATATAGGTAGCATTAACTGGATTAGCAGATAATCAAAAATAGAAGATATATTTGGGATAGTGTTGAGAGTACGGGAGTCTATGATGGGGTGAAATGGGGGTAGATATAATTATATTTTATTGTATGCATACATGTATGAAATTTTCAAAAAATAATATTTTAGTAAGAAAAATCCTGATGCGTGGGCAAGGAATGATTCCCAGGATATGGTGTTAAATGAGTCAACCATTTTATAAAGCAATGCTTGTCATATGTTACTGACCATCTAAAACGATTGCTGTAGATTGGGAATAATTAAACTACAGGGATACAAATCCACAAACAATAGTTTTGACATTGCCAAAGAAATGCATGGGAGACATCTGTGCTTTTTATTTTATACTGTGTAGACATGTAACCTATACAAATAAATAGAGCTTTAATCGGCAAATAATACCAATTTAAAAATAAAAGGCAAACAAGCAGGTGCTGGCAGGCACTGAAGAGCCCCTTTCCAGTGCCAAAGATAGGAAATAAGATGTCTGTATTGTTGGATTGTCTCGAATGTTTTGTGTCCTTTCTGTAGCCTTCTTTCCAAATACCTGCTTACAATTTTGTCTCTGTTTTTAGCAGCATGACTCCTCACTCCAATCTCATCATTTTTCACCTTACATTTTCCACTCAGGAAATTTGAGTTGAGTGAAAATGATTAGAAAAGACAAATACATGCTTTCCTTGGCCTTAAAACCACAGGCTATGAAAGTAAGCCTCATGTATCAGCACCTATGACAGCCCGAAGGATGAGAAGCGAAGGAAGACTGACCTAGTGGCGATGATCATCTCAGTGGAGTACTTGGCCTTCAGGACTTTGTTCAACTCACTGGATGCATTCTGTACGTGCTGGATGGCAGCAGCCTAGGGGGAAAACAGAGTGTTCAGTCTCAGAAGCTTAGCACTGTCTCCTTAACCCACCCCTACCACCTGCTTTACCAGAAACTCAACTGCCTTTCTGGAAATAAACCCAAATAATTCTTGTTAAAGGGACCTACAGATAATCTTGTGCCTAAAATCATTCTAAAAATGAGACGGGGCACTTTATGAAAAGTCTCATATATTAGATAGTAAATAATAGATCTGTGATTCTGATTCCTAATTTTCCAATACCAAAAGTTTACTTTATGAATGTTACTAACAATACAATTTCCACTCATATAGTACTGAATATGTGACTGACCGTATTCTGAGTTATATGTATATATCATTTTTAGGCACTCTTATTATCTACCCTGAGAGGAAAAGATTAAAAGATTACTTGTATGCCCATTTCACAGAAGAGAAAACTGAGGCACAGGAGATAGTCAATCAGTAGCAGAACTTAGATTTGATTCCAGGTAGTCTGACTCTTGAGTCTGTATTCCTACTTACAAGTTCTAATCTTTCCTATTATTACCAAGTTCAAGCATCTACGAAATCCTTATAATTATATTTTGTCAGTATATTTCAAATCTGTCCAATTCTCCTCACCAAGTCACAAACCCAAGTCACTATCATCTCTAGCCTGAATAATAGGACGTCCCACTTTTTTCTCCTTGCCTCTGGTCTCTAAGTCCTTGATTTGTCTCATCACCCACCATGGGATACTGATCAATGATGGGCAGTTGGTTGGGCATGTGATAAAGTAAATATAATGAGATTTCAATGGTGGGCACTCTCATTTCAACTTCCCAATGTGTTTGGAAGCTTGTATAATAAGTAAGGAAGAAAAAAGGTGGGCTGGAGAAATGGCTCAGTTGGTAGAGCACTTGCATTGAAAGAATGAGAACCTGAGTTTGAATCCCCAGAACCCACAAAAATGTCCAGCATAATGATATACACCTGTAATCCTAGTGATGATGAGATGGAGGCAGAGACAGGCAGAGCCCTGGAGTTGTGTCAGGTAGCTGGCCTTGATGTTCCAGGCCACTGAGACTCTATGCCTAACAAAAAGGTGGAAGGACCCAAACTAGAAGTTGCCCTCTGATCTCTGACCACATTTGTGTGCTGTGCACATGTATACCTACCATACACACATGCAAGCAAAACCCAAACCCCCCAAACTCTTCTAGAATTCTCATTGTACTTAGGATAAAAGTTCAAATTTTCTAACATGCTTTATTAGCCCTTTTTGGGTTGATCCCTGATTACTTCTCTACTCTCATTTTGTATGCTCCATCCTTGGCCACCATTTCCTGGACACTATGAATGTGTTTTGGTTCTGTTAATATTATACAGCCTTATCCCTGTCTGCTTGAATTCCTGTGTGTTGAAATCTGTATCCAAGGCTGCCCATCTTCTTGAGGCACTATTCTCTGTGTGCTTGAGATATCTTTGCATCCCCTGTAAATTATTTATACACAAAGATCTATAGCTTTTGTTTTATCTTCCAGAATATATTCTCATCTTCTGAATCACTTAATACTTTAAACCTTCTTATGAAATAAAATGAGGAAACAAATCAAAAAATACTATACAGCCTTTCTTGTCTTTGGAACAGTATAAAAAGAGGACTTGTGGTTTGAATAAGAATGGCCCCCATAGGTTCATATATTTACATGCTTAGGGAGTAGCACTCTTTGATAGAATTAGGAGGTGTGGCTATGTTGGAGGAAGTTGTCACTGGGAGTAGGCTTTGAGGTTTCAGAAGCCCAAGCTAGTCCCAGTAGTTCTTCCTGATGCCCAAGAATCAAGATGTAGAGCTCTCAGCTACTTCTCCAACACCATGTCTGCCTGTGTGCCACCCAATCCCTGCCATGACAATAATGAACTAAACTTCTGAAACTGTAAGCCAGCCCAAATTAAATGACTTTTTAAATAAGAGCTTCTGTGGTCATGTTATCTCTTCAGCAATAGAACACTGACTAAGAAAGCCTCCCACCTTTTCCTTTTCTCCTAGTTATTGGTATTCCTTGGGTCTAAGCTGAAATGGCACTCATTCTGGATGTTTTCCCTGACACCTCACAGAGGGACATACACATATACATGTAGTACTTCATTAATACTTTTACTTTTTCTACCTCTAAATACACTCTGAAGTCCACAACAAGGGATATATTCTTCTTCTTTATCTACTAATGTGTAAGAACATTTCCTAATACAGTGCCTCATATGCAGCAGTTATTTCACATACAATTTTGAATGGATGAATAAATAAAAAAGTGACTTATATCCCAAATGCCTAAAGATCTGTAGTAAATAGCCGCTGTCTGAAGTCTCCTGTCCTCAGAGAGCTCATCCTCACTGAGTCCATGGAAATGCTTCATATTCTTTCTAGGCTTTTCTTTATAGTTCACATGTGATAAAATGGTTGCTCTGAATTATAGCTGACCAATAATCACCTCAAATCTTGGTATATCCATTTCCACCTGTCCTTTTAGCAGTGGGACTTGTTTGGGGTTCTCACGGATCATCACACTCCATCTAAAATAAAGTTAGACACACATATTATTCAGGTTTCTTCTAATTACAAGCGAAATCAACACTTCACAGTACAAGATTTCAAAGCATTCATGTATTTGGGGAAATGGACTACATGGTATACTCAAGCAGTATACCTAACCTCAAAGAGGATTCTGCTTCATGACATCCCTAGGTTAGTGTGATGGAAGGAATTTTCTCAGGACTCTCACAAATCAATGTTTTTCAACCAGAGGTAGCATTATGAGCAACAGAAATATTTTAAGATATATTTATGCCAGATCCTTGTTCAAGAGCTACAGAAACTTTGTTATGGTTCGAGATTTGTATCTTGAAACCCACACCAGTCCTATCTCTCGGGATATAAGATGACAATATTCTTTATTCTCTGGAGCAGAGAAAATATAAGCCAATTGTTGCTGAATCTCCTCCCCCTTTTTAAAGTTTCTCTGAGAGTCTGATAATACTATAGGTTCTTTCTCCCGAGTCAGTATGCTTCCACTGGACAAGTAACATTTAGAATGACATGCAGCAACCCCTTGAAATGTATCTGTGAAGCCCCTGCTCTATGATCCTTAAGTGGGAAAGAGGGGCTTCTACAATGTTTGAGGATTACATGGCTCTCTGATTTCTCAATAGACAAGACCTTCCAAATGAGCCTGCGCTTCCACCACAAGGGAAATGGCGCTTTGAAGGAGACTAGGTTCTGGACTAAGATTATATAAATAGAAGAGGTACAAGGATACGTCCTTTTGGTCACTCACCTGTCCAAAACCCTCACGTGAGCCTGATCTATTCTACTGAGAATATCCAGTGGTGAATTATTTTTATTCCAGAATGCTCCCCAGCCAAGGACTCTAGAGAGATCATTACCAGTTCCAAGTGGGATGATTGCCAGCTGACACTGCAAGAACAAAAAGAGACACTCTTTTCTGATAGCCCTTCCACCATGTCTCATTCACTGAAAGATGTTAGGGTGATCTTTGGAAAGGAATAGGCAGGAACAGGCCTTACAACCAGGGGTTTTAAAGGATTTCTTTATAGGAAGTTTAGCAAGAGGGTATTTGGAGTTGAATGATATTTTCTCAAAGGAATTGGACCTCATTAATAATCATCATCATCATCATCATCTACACAGTTTCTGGACTATTGCAAAAGTCATAGCTATAGCTATAAATGAAGATTATAACCACCATTTCTATTTGATCTGGGGCTCAGAATGGGGGATGCTTCAGGAAACAAAGATTCTTAATTCAGAATAACAAGAGACTGCCTAGAGATGGGGAAAATTAGAGCAAGGTTTATGCCCCTCTAGAGTCTTGGAGAAGAAAATCATTACCCTCACAAGAAGAAGAAAATTGGAACATTCTTTTTCACCTCTTTACTTTGAAGCCTAGAGAAGGCTTGTTCTTTATGTCGATTCCTTTATTTCTCCTTCACCCAGAAACAACTACAGAATTGTCTTATGTGAGCATGTTTAGACTGGCCAAGTTAACTATTAAGCTTGCAGATAAGATGAGTACAGACTTGGGACTTCTGGGAACACACAGCTCCACACCCCCCACTCTTTCTAGCAATAGTTAAACTGACTCATCTAGGGACTTACCCTATCATGCAATTGAAAGGCATCAATCGTAGATAACACCCAGCTTACACTGCCATCTCCACCACAAACCAGAACACGAAAACGAGTAAAGTTCTTGAACATACAGATGCTGCAAGGAAGAAGGGGAACATGAAATAATCATAACTAATTGGAATTTATACCTATCTCTTACAGTATGTTAGGACCTAAAGACTTCTGCTTTAGCATCCTTCTAACAAGGCCATCTGCCTTCTCTTTGCATTAGCCTCTGACTCTGTATATTTGTGTTCACAACTTCACAAGTTAATCTCAGAAATCAGACCATGCCTCAACTCATATTATTTTGTGCTTAGCACTTCTCTGGAAGCCACTAATAACCTAATCATCTGCTGAGTCTCAGGAAGAATACTTTGCATGGTTTTCAGTGACCCCCAGGAACCAGCACTGAACTGTCAAATGATCCCATAGCAAAACAAGTCCATAGTGACACCCTTTTGCTTCTTCCTCTTATGTCAAAGGGCACAGTCTTCTGTCTTGCCAATTGGAAATAAAATGAAGCAAGGTTGGGAGCAGGAAAAGAGATGGAAGAGATTTCTGGGAGAGGGCCAAAAGGTAAAATATTCCAGAGTCATATATTTGTACATCTTCTGGAGTACAAGGACTAATCCCAGAAAACTATTCTAGCCTACAATGTAAAGGGGTAGTAGACTACTGTTCTGTAGAGCCAATCATACTCCCCTCGCCCATGCTTACCCTGTTTCAGGTCCACCCTTCGACAGGTCAAATACTTGAGACGGATTAAGATACTGCTTGAATTTCCGGAGGAAGACGATCCCTTGATGATCTCCACTTTTGGAATTAATGAAGATGAGCAAGGGACAGGAACAAGTCAGTGGCCAATCAAGATTCCAGAAGTCAGGCGATACTACTAGTTGGCCTGATAGACACATAAAAAGAAAAAGAAAAAGGGCAATTGAGACAAGATAAGATGTGGTCTAGCGTCATATTGTACACAGACTTTCTGAGTGTCTAGCGTCATATTGTACACAGACTTTCTGAGTGCCAGCCCCAATCTTTTGCTATTGAGGAGTAGAGGAAAAGTGAGAATATCATTAAAAGGGAAGTAAACATGTTTGCTCTGCTATTTCTAGGCATTCCACTACCATTTTCTGAGAACGCATTGTATACCAGATATCGTATTAGATATTGTTAGGGATATAGACCTTGACCTCAAGCCAGGGAGATGGACATATATACAAGTAAATATGTTGGAAGACAATTAATGAAGAAATTGCTACACCAGCCAAAGATTATTAAAACTCTGTGGGAAAAATGAAGAAAAGGTTGAGAGTCCAAGAGGAGGAGCAGCACTCAAGCTAGTTTACTCTGCTTGATCCAGCTCAGTGCTCACAGTGAGAATGGAGCAGGCCAAGAAAGACTGTCATTAAGCCAAGAGCTAACAACAGAGTTCTTAGCACAATGATACATCAATATAAGGCAAAGCCAAGAACTTGAATCACATCTATAAGGCTAAGAAAGAGCAGTCTACATTATCACACGAGTTCCATTGCAGAATGAGCCTACAGAAAAAATTGTTTGAATAAGAAAGGAATGTTTAATAATCTCCAACATTGAAGCTACTCACAGAGAAGTATGGTTATAATGGCCAAATGGCAGTCTACATAGTAAAATCCTGCCAGCTTGTGGTGAGTCTTAAAGCCTACTGGCCATTTTAATCCCTTCTAGGAGAGGAATTATCAACAAATATCAGGCCCTCAAACATCTGAGATCATGGCTTGCCAGTAGTGCTCCAAAAAAAAAAAAAAACATTTAGGGCAAAAATCATGTTACTCACTCCTATGCAGCATGGGTATGCCAAACATTAAAAAACATGTTGTGGCCGGGCGGTGGTGGTGCACGCCTTTAATCCCAGCACTCGGGAGGCAGAGGCAGGAGGATCTCTGCGAGTTCGAGGCCAGGCTGGACCGATAGCCTCCGAAACAATACAGAGAAACCCTGTCTCGTAAAAAAACAAACAAACAAAAAAAACATGTTGTGCCTGACAAAATCAAAGGCAGCTTCCTCTATGGACTGTCTCCCATTAATTGGTTGGTGGTTTTTAAAGGTGTCCTAAGCAGTTATGCACCACATTTTCAGGGCTTGCCAGAACTTGCAACCACAAGAGGAATCTACTATCTTTCATTAGCAGCATAGCTTGGATATAATTACCTTCCATGAACACATGCAATACCCTTATCAGCAATTTTTAATGAAAGGTAAAATGGTATCATAATGATATCTCTACATTAATTCATTCATCACATTCATGCATGCATTTATTTATTCATTCAACAAATATGTATTGAGGATGTTCTCTGTGGCCATTCTAGTTTATAGTGATGAACAAAATATAACTCTTATTTTAACGAAGGCAAGATAAATATAAAACATAATGTATTGTAGAGAAAAAAACATAGAAAGGGAGTAAGCCTTGTTCTTTTAAGCAATGTGGCCAAGGACAATTCTCTGGGAAGGTGACATTTAAGATGTTACTCAAGCAAATTAAGGAGTGAGTAATTCAGACGTTTTAAAGGAAGAGGTTTTTGGGGGCACAAGAGAAAGTGCTAAGACCTTGAGAGGGTAGTCTAGGTTGTCTGGAAACAGTGATTGTTAAAGAGTGAGGGAGGGGGAAAGTTGAAGAGCATGACATCAGAAATGACAGGGGCCAGATAACATGACATCAAGATGCTTAGAGGAAGCAATGTGAAAGAAAGGTGAGATTGAAACTGCCAAGTAAATCATTCTAAGTTACTTCACAGGATGGTTTTGCTGTATCCCAACAAGTAATGCAGACCCCAAGAGATAAGGTTTGAATATGAAATATCCCCCACAAACTCGTGTGTCCTTAGTCAGAGATGCCAGGACATAATCTTTAGAAGGTATGAACATGCTGGAGAAAGTGGGCCACTAGGTTGGCAGGCCTTTTGAGGGTCATTGTTCAGCTCCAGTTCAAGCCCCAATTCTTGGTCTGCACTGATCAAGTAAGACCACATGTTGCTGCCACCATGGAGTTACCGACTGCCATACTTTCCCCACCATGATGGACTGGATTGGACTACTTTAAAATTGGAGCCAAAATACATCCTTCTTACTTTACATTGCTTCTTGTAACGTATATGATCGTAACAATGTGAAAAGTAACTAATACACTGAAGTGAGGTATGTAGGAAATTGAGATCAGAGAAAAGATAGATGCAAGATTTTCTTGTAAGGATTTTGTATTATTTTTTAAAAGAAAGCTATTAGCCTATGTGAATATATTTGCCAGTCAAGAATTAAGAAATAATAAAGTGAAAATTATGGTAATGATATCTAAAAGTTAAATAACCATGAGAGCACAGTGGAATTGATTGTTTCTGAATCATCTGGCAGCTTTGAGCATGTACTATATTTTATAGTATCTTTCTATAAGAGAGGCAGTTAGCTGTATGTTACAGAAGGTTACCCTCCAGTGTATTCACTAAATTACAGTAAACATCTTAAGCTCTCTAACGGTCCATCTTTTCATATGTGTAGAAAACTACCCCAATGTTTATATGAGTCAGAGTAAGCAGATGGGTAAGTGAGCACCTTGGTCTTCACATTCAGGCTCAAGAACATAAATTATACTAGCACAGAACAATAGAGACTTGGCTTGGCAGAATCAAGTGTGAAAAGAGTACAGGGGCTTTAGCATAAGAATCAACATCCTGAATGACCTCTTGAAAAGAGCCCATGTTTTTGTCCAACTGCATTAATACAGTCACCTAATCCAGAGGACCACTAGTTTCACTCCAGTTCACTATTCACTCCACAGAAGGATGCGAAATTGGCCTAAGTCTTGCTTACTGATGCCCTTCCTACACTACTGAAGTAATCTTTAATGCTGTTTAAATAAAATTAACCTTTATAATGTACCTGAGTATTTATCATTTTCTATCTGGAGAAAAGAAATGACAACATGAACTAGGCCCGCTCTTCCAGTTTGAAGAAGTTTGTGGAGAATGAGTTACCAACATTAAGTGGTAGCAGACATGTCCAGGAAATATTGTGAGGATTTAATGTCTTAATGAATGTTGTGATGTGATCATTGAATGTGTAGAAACGGCAGTGGACAAAAGAATAATAGTAGAATGGTGGTCACATGAGAAAATAGTATCATGGCAGCTTCGTTAGGGCCTGTTTTACTATGACACCAAATTTGAATCATGTATATTTCTGTATGAAATGTTTTGCTAAATAAACTTTAGTAATAGTGGAAAAAATGAGAAATGAGGAGGAAACACATTAAGTAACATATCTAAGACCACATAGTAAATAATGGAGCATGCCTGAACTAGTAGCATAGAAAGCATCAGAGAACTTTTCAGAAAAGCAAATTATTGGTCCTCTCCCAGGTGTACTGAATCAAAATCTCTGTGGGTGGGGCCCAAAAATCTGTGTTTTATAAATCCTTCCCAATGAATTTTATGCATGATTATGTTTATAACCACTGTGTGAGTTCTTACTTTACTGCACATGAACTAATTAACTTGGGGAAGTGAGAAGAGGCCATCATAAAAGCAATAGAAGGTAATACTTGATTTGAACTGGACCCTAAAGGAATTTACTAAAGAGACTGAGTGGAGAAAAGCGGGTAATTAGAGGCCTTGTCAATCACCTGGAGCCTCTTGACTGAATCAGTGAATGCAGGAATGGATGCACAACAGCTGTCAAAGGCTGTCTCGGAAGATCATCATTTGTTTGCTGGAGACAAGATTTCTAGCCTGGCTGAAAGGTTGGAACAGGTGAACCTTACTACCATCATTAAGAGTCCATGACTGAGAAATGCAGAAGAAGATTCCCCTAGAATAAAATGGACTCAGGAGGAATCCTACTCTTGAAGGGCTTATTTGTCGAGGCTAAGAAGCCCAGGAAGAGTCAAGAAGAAAGAGAATTGTTTAAAGCCTTTTCTGAGGAAGTCCAGGCTAAATAATACATGGGAGAACAAAGTATTGTCAGCATGATATCCAAGTGGACCAAGATTGCTGATACATAGAAGCCAAAATTAAATGATACTTTGTAGCACACTAGATAACACAAAATAACAGGCCAGTCCAGGAGCTTCTATGTAAAATAAAGCAGTGCCAGTGGTTGATGAGCCATAACAAGATTCAGAAGTGGTATAGAACCAAAACCAACCCCTCATAATGTATATAAACAACTTCTACAGTGACAGAAACCACAGAACATGTTTGACTTGGACACAAAGAATAGTTACCAACCCCACTAATATACAGTTGGGATGATTTTGTGGGATGCTAACTGTCTCCAGATACTAGTGAAGAAAACAGGATCATAAAATCTAAGGTTGTAGGTTGACTTCTATCATGAGAGAAGTTTCCTCTTGTAGCAGAAGGGAACAGGTACAGAGAGTCACGGCCGGACATTATGCAGAGAGAGAGAGAGTAATCTTGGAACACACAGTTCTAAATGGGATGTCCCCATTAAATCTCTCCCACTCAGAGCTCATGGAACCACACTGAAGAGGAGGTAAAAAAAAATTGCAAGAGCCAGAGGGGATGGAGGACCTCAGGAGAACAAGGCCCTCTAAATCAACTGAGCAAAGTTCATATGAACTCACAGAGACTGAGGCAGCATGCACAGGGTCAACATGGGAACTGGGAGGAGAGAAGGGAGGGGAAATTATAATCAGAATGTATTGTATGAAGAATCTATTTTCAATAAAAGGAGGGGGTGGATGCATGGTGATGATGCAAGGAAAAAAGTAGGTTGACTTCATGAGCAGCCTGAATTTGCTCAGGTAATTAGCTTGTTACTTTTCCCCATGTGTCAATTCCACCTTCCCTAGGGCTCTTCATTCTTCTATCCAGTCAACCATCTCTCATTGATCAAATTGTCAACTTCTTCTCCTCTTTAGTCAGTTGTCTAGTGGGTGATGTTACAAAGATAAATATTTGAATAAATCTGTGAATAATATATTCATGAATCTCTGAGTGAATTTACCTTTGTGTCTTATATGGTACTATGAGGCACATGCTTACACTTGCTTTCAGAAACTTCTGGAAATGACTCACTCAATACCTTGGGGTTTGTCTGTACCCATATTTGTCAATATTCCTAACATTTATTTGATATCTAAGCATCTCTGCTATTTCTTTGATATTTAACATATGCTCCATTCAATTGTTAATTGTGGTGTTATACCAAGACCCTGCTGAATTAATCATTATTAGGTGCTGTACAATGTCTGTTTTAGATCTGTTTGCAGGATTCAAGAACTTTGTGAAAAAGAACTTTCAATAAACCACAATTATCCAGGACATGACAAAATATCAGTTCTGGGGCAATAACCATGCTGGTTTCATATTTGGTAACAATTTTGGTGTTAGTTTCCATCTTAAAAATAATAGGATCTAAGCTTCCAATAGGTTTCGAAACATTGGTTCAAAAATCTACAAAATTCATTTCCTAGATAAGGCAGTATTTGAAAATCTAAAAAAAACAGTTAAGAAAGCTAAAATTAATTTTGAACAGTCAGAAAGAATTTTGACAGTCTACAGAGAACATGCCCATCATAGCACCCATACACCAAAACACAGCATTTGCCATTAAAAAGGAATAACTGTTAGGTTTTTGATGCAAACATATAAATTCATATTTCCCCCAAATATTTTATGGTAGTATAGAATAATTCCTGCCCTTCTTCCCAGCCTTTATACCTTCCCTCCCTCCCCAGTGTGTTTCCGAAGTAAAGGTCAACCTACTCACCGTCGCCCCTAGGGTCGCTCAGTGCAGTCGGCGGTACGATTGCTGAGCGACGACTTCCAAACGAACATTCCTTGGAAAACCGCCTCTGGCAGGCCCCGTGCACCTGAAACGATAAGAGCACAAGAGAAAAAGGAGGGGGAGACAAAAAGGAGGGGAAGAGAAAAAAAGAACACTGATTAGTCTTTGGCTCCATCGCAAGAATTAGACCTCTTACAATTCAAGTCTCCCTTTCTGAAATTTGGTACTATCTACATAAACTTTAGCTCACTTGACACCACTCCACCCCATTCTACTGTTAAACTGCAATGTCCCTGAGTGTGCAGAACTCTGACCCGTTCAAAGGTGTCTTTCTGAAGATTCCCAACTACAGGTACTGAGGTGTCATCAGCCTTAGGACACAATCTGAGTAGCCCACAGAATGGGAAATGTAGTTGCATTTCCAAAGTCTTAATCCTAATGTTTATATTTCAATCTTTAGAACAACTGTATGTGGCGGGAAAAGCGTCACTAAGCTCATTTTAGAAATGATCACATGTGAAAGTCCACAGAGTTAAAAGGTCTTAACCTAAGGTCAAATAGCTGGGAAGTATCAAATAAGACTTCCCCACAAGTTGTCATTCTTCCTAGATTTCAGACCTCTTCACATTCATTCCACATCCTAAACAACTACACTTTCTAGGGACATGAGCCTAACATGGCTATTCCAAGGCAATTAACAGGGGGCCAGTGGACAGACTCTTCAGTAAAGAAGTTCACTTTACTTTCTTCTTGTTTTAGAAAACTCAGTTTGAGAGAAGTGTCTAAGTTTATAAAGTCAAGATCAGAGTCTCTCAATCTCTGTGATACTGATTTGTTTTTGGCCCAGATACTTCTTTGTTATAGGATACTATCCTGTGCATTATAAGTTTTGAAGAATGTACTAGATGCCAGTTTCATCCTTCCTGTCCAGTCCAGTTTTGGACATCAAAAACAACTCCAGATATTGCAAAATGTCTCCTGGAGCCAAAATTACCTTTCAGTTGAGGGCCAGTGTTTCAAATATATGGTAGTGTTGTAGTTAGGAACATGGTCTTATTTTAACTATATATTGATGGAGACTTTATTTTTTTTTGCTAGCAATATGACCTTGGGTTCACTTTCTGAGCCCCACATTACTCATCTGTAAAATGGGGGCAATGAGCTTAGTTCAATGTTGTTCTAAAGATTGAGATCATGAAAAGAAGATATTCAATACATAGTGGCAATGATAATTTGTTATTATTATTAATATCCATTAATAAAGTTTGTAAGTTTCTAAGTAGTAATGAATGATGGAGGAATACTTTCTTAATGATAGACTCCAGACTTTTTTCTAATTGCTCATATTGCCATTTGAGAATTAAGCTTTTCTCATTGTCAAGATGCCTTCATCAATTAAGAGGCATCAGATTACAAACACTTTAAATCTTTCTCCCAAAGACTCTATAGCTACACGGGAAAGGCAAGCTACTGGGCTTTGTACTATGGAATCTATATAATGCATTTTTGGTGTAAGGGTCTCTGAGATACATCTCTATTTACCTATTTATTCCTGTACCGTTACAGACAATCCCCAATCTACCTCTTCTCTAGCAATAAAATTCTTTAAGTACCAAAGATATGAAAAGAGACTCACCGAGGACTCACACCAGAGGCAGCGGAAATCTTGAAGTCTGTGATGACTACCGCAGCTCCTATGACATACTGCACAACGAGAGTTGGCAGGTATATTTCCTTCTACCCACTGATGAGGCATGGTTTCCTAAAGTGGAAAAAAGCAAAAGATACAAATTAGTGATAAGAGAAGGAACAGCTGAGATAACTATAATACTTGTGGAGAACATTCGATAAAAGTCTCATGGACCTGCCCTCGATGCTACTGACTAATGAAAAGTGGAAGTTGGGGCTTAACTCACTGATATTCATTGGGTCATTGGATTCTGTGGAAGAGACTACTTTGCTTGTCTAGTGCCAGGAAGAATTCTTCCTGCGTCTGGATGTCATGACTTGAAAAGAGTCTGGGAAGGTGTCTGTGGGAGGATATGACTGGTACTTACTATTTCGTCAGCGGGTAGAAGGAGGTCATCAGTTATGGACAAAGTATTCCACTTGCAGTCTTTGCTTGCTCTCAAAGCACATAATTTGTGTGATTTCACCTTACAGACTGTGAAAGGAGGAAGAAAAAATAGGTGTGAGTCTAGTGACAATGAAAATTCTAATTCCCTTGCCTAAGCTTCTCTAGAGGTTAGAATTCAAGTGCTTTCTAAATAGGTTTGACCTACTTCCAAAAGCCTACTTCTAATGTGAACCAGTTCCTTTTGATTCTTTGCTAGCTAAGCTTCCTATTATTCATTTTACATTAAATTAATAGTAAGAAAGAAATAATTTCTGACTTCTCAGTCCTTCTGACCATATAGTCCATCTTCCTGTATCCAACCCTCTATTTTCATACATTAGAACACCCCTTCATGCTAGTTTCTCTTCCCCTCCCTTAGAATTACCTTCACATAAGAACCAACAATTTCAACTGGATCAGTAATGCTAAAGTCATAGGAGACACTGCGTGCCTAGCTCTATCCAGTGAACTCTGCTTTCTAAAGCAGTCAGAAAGGTACCTTCACAGATGATGGCATCTCGAGATAAGGGAGGAATGTTCTCGCGACAAACATTGCAGAACTGAGACCGAGGACTAGGACTGGAATACCAGTAGTGCATTCCGATAAGGAAAGGGTTGTTTTCAGCTGCAGGTATCTGAAGCAAATCAAAGAGAAGAAAGAATGGAGGGTTAATCACAGAGCTGGATTTGGGAAGACCAGAAAATCTGCTGCTAAAATAGCCCACAGTGTAGGTGTCAAAGCGTGTGAAGGAGAGGGCTGGTAGGTACAGTTCCCACTTCTTGTTTTTATTTCATTTTGTTACTGGCCTCTGAAGGGAAAAAGAAATAGATGGGAATAACCTCAAACAGAAGCTGAAGACAGAAGCAAGGATCTGTCTATTCCTTGCTCAACCACTATATTAGTTTAGTCCAAGCAAATTTTGTTCTGATTGGTCTTGGTTCTCTTTAAATAGAAAACAAAAGAAAAGAATGAGTTGGAAATTGTGGGGTATCCAAATGCTCTGACAAAGAAAGGCAGGTGATGGGGCTCACACACAGAGCTAAGGAATACATTCAAGGTTTTAGCTCTTCCTCATAATACAGCTACCAAGTGAGCAGAACATTGCTTTCCTTGGACAGCTCTTGAAAGACCTTTAAATCTTTTTCTCATGAGCTTTTTCTTTCTTTGAAAACCACGCTTTGACTGCCTACAGTAGTTTCTTAGTTAATCATTTTAATTCATCCAATAAGTTATTAAACAAGTATTTACTGAATCGGTATTATATGCTTGTAACTTTCCAAGGCATTTGAGATATAATCATTAACAAGACACAGTCCTTGCCCTTTTGATGGCGTTCTGTTTAGTGTCTTCTTTCATACTAATCAGTTTGACATGTTTAGTTATCATGCCTGTGAACACAGCATTTGCATATCACAGCCTGACTTTCACCTCTACAGAAAAGGCATGTGTCAGCAATGGTTTGAGTTGTATGGATGTACAGGCACCGAATCCCTCTGACTTTGTTCTGTATGTATTTTCATAGGACTTCCCAAGTCTTTTCTCTAGTTCCTATGAATGTCTCAGTTTCTTCTCTGCCTTTTTTTAAAAAAGAGTTTACTCATAGACTCACACTTTTTAAATTCTTGTCATTATAATGGGTTGTATGTATAAAGGTATGGTAAGATTTTGAAAGAGCAATACATTCTCTCAGATATAAGTTGTTAACAGTCTATTAAAGGGGTTGCTGTTGAGGGCTTAAACTTAAGTTCAAACTTAGTCTATTTATTGGAATTACCCATCCAAGACAGCCTACACATAGTGCTCTCTGATCTCTATTACCCATGGGCATGCTGGTTATGTGTTAAACTACTGCTGAACTGAAGCAGAATTTTTTGGTAGAAAAAGCTACTCTGATGAGCTAATAATTTGGGATTGCTTTGTGAATTTTGTTGTATACTGACACCTGAAATACTACAGGCCTAGGAACACCAGAATAGAAGGCAGAGTATATTGACATTAGCACTCTGAGCTCATAGTTCCTTATTATTCCCAAGGCTATAACTAAATAAACATCTTTCTTACTTCCATTTTCATTCTCTTCCCTCCAAATTACTAGGAACCTCTGACTATATGTTGTTTAACATAATAAGCACTGACACTATGGAGATAAACAAGTCACATATATCAAGGAACCTGGTCTACTGGAGGAAACAAATTCTCAAATGGACAGTCATAGTGTGACAATAAATTTCTAAATACTATACAAGGTTCTACAGGACCAAGTAGAAGAAATGAAGAATCATGCCTGGGTATCTTGATTATGTATTAACTATAAAGGAATAAATATTTAATGGATATCTCTTGGGTTCAGATAAAGGACTTTTCTTGGGTTCAGTTGTTAAGGAAATGGAATTTATATCCCTCATGTTCATCTTATTCTGTAAGGAGAGTTGGATGCATCCAGTCCTGGGTGAGTATGTGTGGTAGTTTGACTTGTGTGTTGCTATGGAATATTGGTTTACACTGTGTGAATATGTGTGGTTGTGATTGGTTTCATAAACAAGCTGACAGGCTAATAGCTGAACAGGTTACAGTTAGGCAGGAAGGCCAAATTGAGACTGATGGGATGAGGAATGATGGAGTCAGAGGAGTCCCCAGCAGATGCAAAGAGGACAGGACGTACCATGTTAATAAATGTACTGCCATGTGGCAGAGCATGAGGAATGTGGGTTATCAGAAAATGTAAGAGCTAGATAGTAATAAGCCTGAGCTATCTGCTGAGCATTTACAATCAATATAAGCCTCTGAGTAGCTTTTTTGGAAACTGGCGGGTAAGAGAGAAACATCCTACAGTATGTCCTCCCAAATTATGTTCAAGTCCTAACCTTTGGTACCTGTGAATGTGACTTTATTGGAAACACTATCTTAACAGATGTAACCAAGTGAGACTTAATGCAAGGATTGTTGCCTTTATAAGAATACGAAAATATGAAAAGAGCTGTGATTAGAGAGGAGAACACCTTGTGATAAGATAGAGTACACAGACACACAGAAGAACACCATGCGGCAGTGGGGCATAGATTCAACAATGCACTTACAAGCCAAGAAATGTTAAGGTTTGCCTGTAATCTGCAGACTGTAGAAAGAGGCAAAGAACGATCCTCTTTCTAGAGCCTTCAAATAGACTCTGACTCTTTCATGAACTCAAATCTAGATCTCTACCTGCTAGAAATAGGAGAGAATAGATCACTGCTCTTTCAGCGCACTCAGTTTTGTTACTTATAGCAATCCTGGAAAATGAATACAGAATTTTGAACTTGGTTATAGCTGTTTCTGTGTCAGATACTAAAAATATGGAACTGGTTTTACAGTAGTCTAGTATATAAATATTACTATTTTTGAGACAGAGGATACTGAAAAGACTATATGGCCTTAAGAAAAATGTTATTAGAAATATTAACTGCCTCTGGTGCAGTCTCTGATGAAAACAAGAAGCATTATGGGAGAGTGGCAGAAAGGTGACACTTTTTTGAGCAGAAGAGAACCATTTCATTGTATTGTTGACTGAAAAGCAGAGGGTTCAAATGATGAACTTGAACCTTTACCTGATAAAACTTCCAAGCAAATATGAAGATACAGTCTGGTTTCTTTCTGCTGCTTTAAGAAAATGCAATATGGAAGAGATATACTGCTGTGGGGACCTTTTTTACTCTATTTGACTTTCCATACACAGACTGGGTAGCTTAAACAACAGAAAGCTATCGTCTTACTGTTTGGAGATGGGGAAGTTCAAAAGCAAAGAGTAGTTCCAAAGGGCCTCCTTCATAGCATGGATATGATCACATTCTCACCATCAGCTCACGTGGCTTTTTCTTAATATGAAGAAAGAAAGAACTCTTTGTTTTTTCTCATGAGGCTATCAGCCCTACTGGATTTAGTCTCTGACCTTACGGCTCCATTTGACCTTTATCGTCTCCTTCAAGTATTATTTCTAAGCATAGTCACATTTAGGACTTAAGCTTCAACATATGAAGATTTGGGAACTTCTCAAACTATCCCCATATTTCACGCACAGAATAGTGCACTGTGGAGTGACCATCCAGGGTGTGGATAGACAAATATTTTCTGAAGAGATTCATTATGGGACTCCAGGTTTAAATCAGCTGTCTCAGCAGAGTATTGGCACCATGGGCTGGAAAGCTCAAGACATAAGACTCATTGAAAGGAGGTTGTGACTTCCGAGATTCCACAGCATCAAAGTGATGGTGAAAGCGATTCAGGTGTGAGCTACAGTATTCCTTTGGGAAAATAGAATAACAGGTTCCAACGATGACTTGGAGGCCAGAAATGATGTTGAGAGGCTCAAATTTGTTGTTCTTGCCAATGTGGGAGTATGGGCCTATTGGAGGAAGTCATTGTCTCTTTTATTCCAGAGGGTAGGGTTGCCTTCTAGATTCCAGAATGTGGGGCCAATTTTTTTAGCTACACAGAGAAAATGCCACTCAGGTGGACTGAGAGAATGAAACCAGGAAACTACACTGAGCCGCAGATAATTATCTGCAGGCCCATAAACCTAATGGGACTTGCCTTTCTGGATTGACAGCTTTCTTTAGACCAGCAGTCCTTTTAGTTCTTCCATTTTTCTCCCTTTCAAAATAGGAATGTCTATCCCACACTACTTCCTCTATGGGATTTTAGAAGCAGATACATTGTTTTTGAGGTGTTACATGTCCACAGGTAGAGGAGAAATATTGCCCCCAAAGGGAATATACACGGCATACATAAAAGAATATACAAGGAGTCTTGCTGGTGCCTTACTGGTATTCTTATAAAAAGGGAGAAATTGGAACACAGACACATACAGAGAGAACAACTTGGTAGGATACAAAACAAATGGACACACAGGAAAGCACAGATAGGCTGAGGCCGAGGCTGAGGCTGAGGCAGAGGCAGAAACTGGAATGGCACATGGCAAGCCCAAGAACACCAAGGATTTCCAGGAACCACCAAAGCCTAGGAAGAGGCAAAGGATTCTTCCATAAGGTCATCAGAGAGACATGACTCTATTCACACTCTGATTTCAGACTTCTGGCCTCCAAGGTAAAAGAGGACATTTCTGTTTGTTTGTTGTTTTTGATTTGTTTTGCTTTAAGGTAGGGTTTCATGTAGCTCAGGCTGCCCTCAAATTTGCTAGGTAGCTGAGGATGACCTCGGAACTCTCTTAAGTGTTAAGAATATGGGTATTTATAAATTATACCCAGTTTTTAAATTTGTGTGTTTTAAGTCCCAAAGTTCTTGGGAATTTGTTATAGCAGCCATGGACTGGCATAGTATGTCACTACAGGCATTCCTATTTGCTGATATGGATTTTTGAAAATCAAATTTGAAGACAGAGTCAAAACTATAGCAGGTATACAAATTGCTAAGAAAGGTCAGTTGGCCTGAAGTTTTCAAATCCAAATTGTTGGGTACTTGTGTTTGATTTTTATTATCTCTAAAATACACACTCCATTGCTCCAATCAGACTCTTATTTGACATGAATTGAATGTTTGTGCAACACTTCCACTCTAATGAAATCCTAACTTTCAATATAGTTACTACCAGAGAGCCTTTGGGAAATGATTATGTTCTGAGGGTGGAGCCATAATGTATGA